ATAGTTTATTAAGTTGCCTAACATTTGATGTAACTACACACCCCGTTAATAAATATAAATTATAATTTTTTCATAAATTAAGCTATTAAATTAACATTTTGAACTGAAATTATTTCAGGAATTATTCATACAATTTTTAACAAAATTTCGGTTGTCCTCTATATAGCAGAATTACTTATCCTAGAGTCATGTAAAATCATATATCACACATTACTGTTCATTCACTGGAAGTATTCCCAGTGTAGGAATATGCCTGTTTCTTCACTGGTTAGAAGCTGGTTTTTGTCTTTTAAACAGAATTTTGATGTATAATATGACTAAAAGTACAAGAAAATTACGAAATTTCTTTTATTTTCATTAACTGAGAAATGAACCCAGTAAAGAAACATTTGTTCCTTCACTGGTTTTTCATCGTTTGGTGATCCAGTGAAGGAACATGCCTGTTCCTTCACTGGTTGGAAGTTGTTTTTTGTCTTTTAAACAGAATTTTGATGTATAATATGACTAAAAGTACAAGAAAATTAAAAAATTTCTTTTATTTTCATTAACTGGGAGAAAAACCCAGTAAAGGAACACTTGTTCCTTCACTGGTTTTTCATCGTTTGGTGATCCAGTGAATAAACACCCCCTTATCTCAGTACTTGATTATGCTATGGTGCTTTAAAAAAAATAAAACGTAACTTCAATAACTATATTTTGAATTCTCTTTTTCACAGTGAGAAAAATAAGACTACTACATGCAATTAATTCCACTTCAAACATATAAGTACAAACACTCACCTTATAATTTTTTCAACGAAACAAGGTGTTGCAGAGATAATAACAAATTCAAAAATTTTTTCAGAGAAATCTATTTGACCAGGTAATCCAAAATATTGCTAGATGACTTCCTATTGTTTGGCAGTAAGCTATTGTTACCAATCAATCTAAAGAAAAACTTTCAAATTCCTATTTTTAATGAATATATATGAAATGTTCCTTCACTGGGTAGTGTTCCTTCACTGGTTGGTTTACCCTATCACAACTTGACAACTATTTTTAAAGAAAGCATTTTACAAAAACTTATTTACAATGTACTTTATTAAATAAAAAAATAAAAATAGTTTGAATTTGAATATTAGAAAAGGAATCCTTAAGAATTTGCAAATGATTGGAAAAAAGCGTTTTTTTTTTTTTTTTTTTTTTTTTTTTTTTTTTTTTTTTTTTTTTNTTTTTTTTTTTTTTGTTTTTTTTTTTTTTATTGAATTCTTTAAGCTCCATTTATAGATTTCACAAATTATTTACGTTTCATTAATTATAAATAGAATATTTAGAAACATCGGAAATAATTATTTTTGATTTGAAACCAAATAATATTAATAATTAGCTTTAATTTTAATCTAATTCCATTGGTTACCTTTCTTTGTTATGTAGAGGAATTATAGGATTCTTGCCCCCCGAATTACCGTAAAAATTATGGTGTATCAGCTTTTTTTGTTCCGAACCATACTCCAGTAAAAATGGTTTTTACGGTAAAACGTACCGGCACCCAGAGTGCCAGCACTTTTTATATAAATTTGATCAGAAATATTTTACAGTGTATTTTCCAGGAAGAAAAAAATGAGTACATTTCATCTTAATATTTTAATATTAAAAGCCAACATTCTTAGAAAAATTTTCATTTGTGTGCTTTTTATCCTATTTAAAGAAATGGAGAAATTTACAATACTTGAAAGTAATTTTTCCCCAATTATAATCTGGGAGAAACATCACGTGAAAACCTCTGATGGTGATTTTAACCAAATATAGAAAACTGTCAGGCGGAATTACTCATTAAATCATTTTTTAAAATGAATTTATTTCAACAAGAGATTTTTATATATGTCACATGTTAAATCACTTTTAAGAATCTGCTAGCCCATTAAATTAATTGGTAAGATTTTCTCAAGAACAAGACATATTTTTTTACCACGAGAGAGAAGAGAAATCAAGTTTTTTTTTTTTTAAAAAAAGTCGTATACTTAAAATTTAATTTCTCAGGAACTATTCAATCGGTTTAGCACAAATTTTGTATTTTGCCAAGTAAAATTACCTTCTTTAAAATGATGTTAACAATTTTATAGCTTACGGTTAAAAAAATGCAGACTGTTATTAAATTAGAAAATAAAAAATAATAAATATTTATTAAAATTTAATATTTGCAGGAAATTATTTTTGGATATATAAATCTTATAATTGCGTGCAAAAATTTTAAAATTCGTTTAAAAAGAAATGATAAGTTTTTTTTTCGGTGCACATTAGAGTTTATCAATTTATTTTGATAAAACTTCACTTCAATTTTGGCTAAGTTAACACACTGATGTTCCTCATAATTTGAGTGCATAAAATCGGATAATACGTAGGGTTTTATTGAGTAGGTTATAGAGTTCTACCGGTAGATGCTAGGTCTGTAGAATCGGAATACAATATGCAGGATTTATACGGTACTCAAAAATTTAACGAAAGTGGTTTCATAATTGAACAAAAGAACTAAGAATTTCTTCTTATTTGCTTTTATTATGAAATTACGAAGCAAAGAACAACGAAACCATTAGCGAACCCAAAGATTTCGGAGCTTGATATAGATGTTTGGACATATATTAAGCTTAGTGAAGACTAATTTACTAAAATACATCTTACTTTTTTACTTCTGCTACATATTTTTAAAATGTTTAAGGACATTATTATCCTTGATATGATATGTTTTAAGGAAAAGTGACCATATTTTCTCGATTTTATGTGGTCATCTCTCCCGAAGTTGATATTGAAATGGCCAACAAATTCATAGCGTCACTCCACTATAACATTCTTCTGCTTTTTCCTCAGGAAAAAAGATTGAACTATATATGTGCTTTAAAGATCGACATAGTTGAATAAAATATAACCCACTCATCAAAAAACAATAGAATGCTGAATTCAAAAAAATATTTGACCCTTCAATAAAATAAACATTAAATTTTAACATATTTTTTGTTGTTGCAAAAGGCAATGTTTTGTCGTCGAAGTGGTTTGTCTAAAGATATATGAATTATAAATAAAATGAATAAAGAAGGAGAAGGACTCTTCCAAAAACTTTGAAAGAGTTTATTACTTTTTACACGAACTTCCAATATAAAATGTAATGAAAAATATAAAATGTAATTAATTTAATAAAAATATATGTAATGGACAAACCAACATCCAATTTTTCGAAATTTTTAAATATTTTTAATTTATAGAATTTTGAATAAGTGTATCGAGAGATAAAAGCTAATGTTGATACGTATATTACATTTTAAATTAATGACTAATTTTTTTTTAAATATTTCCTTTGAATAAAACGAACGTATATTTTTTGTGAAGAATGCGTTCTCTTATTGCTTAACTAATCAAAACGTTTTACCTCCCTTAATATTTAATGCATGCAATTAAGAGAAAAATCATGAAATTAGTGAAAATGTGTATAATTAAGAGAAAATGTATGTAAGTAAGTGAAAATGCATGTAATGAAGTGAAAAAATAATGAGTGATTAAAAATTTACAAAGGATGTTTCATGATTTAAAACATAACTAATAATGCGAAAGAAAATCTAGTTAGGTTGGAAAGTTTTTAAACGTCTGGATTTGTAATTTATATATTAAGTTTGTACAAAATCTACCAGATTGACATTTTTAAAAAGAGAGAAAGATTTCGCAAACAAAGAAACTATAACCGTTTATACATCAATAGCATAAATGCTCCATTAACGAAGTAAATCTTAAATTTAAAGAGAAATTTGATTAACAGAGTTAAATTTTTTCATAAATTAAAGAGAAATAAACAGATTTCTCAATGATTCTATATTCTAGCCTAAAAAATATTGCTAAATTAAATTTGTTGGTTTTATGTATAAAGATCAATATTGCCATACTATGTCACGCAAATGACTAGTAATTTGTATGACAACTTCCTTCAATCTTTTTCAAATAATAAAAAATTTAAATCATTTTATGTCCAGCAGTATCACTCTCAAAAAAATAAAAATAAACAGTTATCAACAGAACAATTTATTATTAAAATGATTCATGAATTTTAAAAAAGCAAAACGCTACCGTAAAAATAAATCGGTACTGACAGGCACAGAGTGACATGTGTCACATTAGTGCACCAATAAATTTACAAGTAAGTTTAATGTAAATTGAAATAGAGCATGAACCAGAGTCGGCTAAACTGCGAAGAGTAAGGGGTGTTACTGTAAGATTTGCTATAAATTAAGTATTGTGTAAAATAACAGAAATATAGTAGAGATCATTATCTCGACAGCGTGGAACTCGTTTTTTCATGAAAACGGTGACCAGCTGAAGAAAATAAATAAGAAACCTTTAACAATACTTTTACAGTTAGACCAACAATAAATCTTAACCCTCCTAAATTATTTATTTTTTGGGGAGGGGCATAAGTTTGTGATATAAATAATAAGCAATGCTATAAGTAATGTGATAAGTTATTGACGTAAGTCATATAAATGATGAAATAAAGCTGTAAAATCAACATTATTAATAAGTTAACGGTAAAATCAATTGTATTTCTATGCAATTTTGATGAAACTTTGAAACTTTATTAAACTCAATGAAAGAGTTTTGGTCAGAAAAAAATGACTCAAACTGCGTTCAAAACACATGGATATATGTATTTGGTTCGACAAATGATGAAACTTTTAAAGGAATGAAAATACGATAGAATTGATTGAAATAGGAAAAATTTCAACGATATTATATTTATAAACATACGCAATGAAACTTTTAAAATTATTCTACTTAATAAAAGAGTTATAGCCAAAACAAATTTTTACCGCATTCAACAGATTTAAAATAAATAGTTTATTCTGCAAATTAAAAAAAAAAACTTTTAAATGAATGTACGATTGAATTAAAATAATATGTATTATGGCAGCAAATTTAACAAACAAATGCAGTTACTCTATATTAAACGCAATCATCAAAAAAGAATTTAAATAGCTCACCCTTGGGTTCCCTGATGCTGAGTTGAATGTTGTTTTTTAACTTTGGACATGAGCTTGTCCCATGGACCACCCATGCCAGAGGCACCGGTAGCTCGGAACATCGCCATGTTGACAACTAATTTCCACTTTAACTATCTTCTGCAGTTAAGAATCACGTAATCCATTGTGAACAACACCATAAAGTCCACTGAAATTCACCTGTTTGGTCTTTTTTGAACTAAAATTTATCTATTTGGTCTTTTCTGAATTGAAATTCATCTATTTTGGTCTTTTTAAAGGCAAAGAGAAGATGATAGAAGAGTTGAAATTTAAATATGCTAATTGAAATAGAGATTTTTCTGCCAAAAAGCTGTTGAGATCTCAGCAACAAAAATTATTATTATTATTATTGCTTAGAAATAATGTTGAGAAAAATTGTGCCCAAGTCTAATAGTAGAAGCTAAAATTTACGAAGAATTCAATTAGTAAAGAGCTAGTAAAGATGTGCTCGAAGATCAAAAAGACGATTGATTGTCAAAATTTTCCAAACTATTTGATATGCTAGTTAAGTACGGAACTAACTATTTTCAAGACCGATATCCTCAAGGCATTAGTAATATATCCAAGAAGGCACTAAAATATCCTAAGGTATTGAGAAAATTGAATCTTTTTCAAAACCTAAGTTCGACTATATTTCTTTGATTTAAACTAAGGAATTATTTTTAAAAAAATGAACTCTTCTTCGTTTATATTGGGCTGTCCGGTAAATAGAACATGATTTGAACTCTCAAGATCCTTTGTAGGCAAAATCACACTGTACACAAGGAGTCAATTTATCGTTTGGGACTGGAGTGTTTTGAAATTGAAGAAGCATGGTGCTCCAGTCGTTTTACTTTGTTCCACACAGCCCCACCTGACTTAGATCGTCTGCTGCTGCTTCAGGGAGGCAGATCTCCACCGACGCACCTCGCGTCCCGTGCCGTTTCGTTCTAAAAATTATCGTTTGCGCTTCCTTCGAGAGCTCAGTAAATCCGCGCTTCACTCCACAGGCGGTTGTTCTTAGAAGCGCGCCCTGGTGGTTAAAGTTTTGATCGTTCTAGGTTTCGTTACGCTCTGTCAACTTAACTAGCAAATGATATGCAGAAAAATAAATTCTTGATGCAATCAAAATATATTTCCGAATAAAGTAATTAAGTAGTGTCTAAAACAGCATTTTGGCTGGATTTCGACCAGAACTAACTTTCCTCTAAAATAATTTTAGTTCATGGGATTGTAGCTTAGTCTATTATTGTATTCGTGATGTAAAACTGGCATTTTAAAACTCTCGTGTTTAAACTGCCATGTTATAAAACTATTTCGTAGTTCTCCCATTTTTAACAAGCGCTTAATTATTTTCAAATTGCTTGAGAATTACAGAGAATGAAATTTTAAAAAAAATTTAACAAGATGGAATTTATAATGAAAATATCACACTAAAATTCCTTAGTTTTTTTTTAACCATCGTTTTTTTTAAAACAGCCGACCCAATTTTGAATTTACGACTACAATGTTCAACTCCGTAGCCTTGTAATTTGGAACCCAATCCAGAAGACAAAGAAACTCGTGGATCAAGTATTAGGAAAAAATTGCCTTCGCCGAACACTCTTTGATGGAACTAGCCCACATTCGTATTACCTGGTGAAGAGAACCGCAGATGCCTGTCATGGTTAGCCAGACGGCAAGGAGACTCAAATCCATAATTCTTCTACCACTGAGGATATTTTACGTCAGCACTGTGGTCAGTGCGGCAAGTGTGGAATTCGAATCGACTAGCCATCGCTGGGTTTTAAACTCGGTTAACCTCTTTGGCAGGTGAACGCTAAATCTTCTGAGCTCCCACGTCTCTTCTTCAGTTTGATCAAAATTTCTAACAAAAAAATTTAAGCAGAATACTTAGATTTTTCGAACACTTATAAATAATAGAAACTTTCTGCGAATTGTCGCTACACTCTGACAATTTCCTTTGCAAACTATAAGGAGACAAGCAAAATCTCAAGCGAAGATTATTTCCGAATATAGTAATTAAACTGTCAAAAGCAGTGTTTTAACCAAATCTAACTACTCGTCAACAATATTTCTACTTCTAAAAGTAAATAAAATCACTAAATAACTAAATACAGCGTCGTACAAATGTAGTGATAAAAATTAATCTATATCTCCCGTATTTAAAACTAATTTTTCGCTCTTTTATTTTTGATACGCGCTTTATAGTTTTTAAATTGCTGGAAGATACATTCTATAAAATCAAAGTAACAAAAACTCTAAATTTTTAACGTTACTTGAAATTTGAAACAAGAATATCAAAAGACAAAATTTTAAATACTTTATCAGCAATATTTAAAACAAAAGTTTTAAATGAAAAATTTAATTCAAGGAGCGGAATCAATTTAATTAAGACATATTTAATGGAAAAATAGTTTCGAACTTGATTCATATGTATTTGCAATATTGCAAAATATTTTCTTAATCCATAAAGGAGTAAAACGCAAATTAATTTTTTTCGTAAAATCAAAAATGTTTATTGATAAAAATGTGAGCAAAAATAAAGACTTTTTTAACATTTCTTTTACAAGTTCAGAAAATAGATAGTATAGTTTGTAATGACAAAAATAAAACTATCAGTAACTAAATCATAAAATTACTAAATGTTATCATTATACTCTAAATATTGTGTTCAACAATTTTATAAATTAAATTTTCTGTGTTTATTTTATAATATTTTCATTAAAAATTATACCGAAATTTGTCTAAGTATTATTTTTGTCAAAGATTATAAGATTATTTTAAAAGTTATTTTTTCCATAATTGAATGTATTAAATCAAATAAATGTATTTCACCATTTTATATGTTTTAATTTCATAGTTAATAGAGGAATGAAAAAAAATACAAATGGATAGTGTTCTGATAAAAAGCTTCGAGAAAAATTATCATATATGTATAATAATGACAATTCTGGTAAAAGAAAAAAAAATATGGAGACAAAACCAAAATATATGGTATTTGAATCATTCATCTGGTAATTTTTCCGTTCGCATGGTTACGGTTTACCGGAAATTCTGGTTTTTATAATTAGTTTCTATTACCTCGCGTTTAGTAAAAATACAAAACTGAAAATTAATTTAACCGTACAAATGGGGTTTTTTTGTTGTAAAATTTAGTAATTTTATCCAAGTTATCATGATAAAACTATCAAATTTTACCACCTTTACTACCGAGCAGCATGGTAACAAAACCATATTTTATTGTTAATTTTCTAAAAATTGTTTCCAGAAAATCAAAAATACAATCAATTTTACCATCTTCTGGTAGTTTAGACCACATTTTTTTCTCAGTGCACTTATAAAACCATATTATTAGCAGCATAAATAAAATTATGAGCTTAATATTCTAGCACACTAATGCCGTGTTTTTAATGTGGTATTTCTCCTTCTTCTATAACTCTACAGCTCTTTGTGGGCCCTAGCTTTTTCAACAATTTCATTTAAACAAACTCTGCTTTAACTTCTCCCTCCACTTACGGATCTTCATTATTTATAAGTCTTCAATCACGTCAATCTTCTACTTTTTCCTTGACCAGTATTTGCAGAATTTAATTCTAAAAATTTTAAAATTAATTTTTCTTGTGTGTTTCGTATTTGTGTTTTAGCTTTAAATTGTAAGCTTGCGTAAAATCAATTAGAAAATCTTCTTTATTAACAAGTCAACAAATTAAATTATTTTTATTTTGACTAAAGAATGAACTTAACTGAACCAATGCCGTCAAAAAAGAAGAATGAACTTAACTGAATCATTTCCATCAAATAAGAAGAATTAACTCAACTGAATCATTTCCATCAAATAAGAAGAATTAACTTTATCATTTCAATCAAATAAGAAGAATTAACTTAATCATTTCAATCAAATAAGAAGAATTAACTTTATCATTTCAATCAAATAAGAAGAATTAACTTAATCATTTCCATCAAATAAGAAGAATTAACTTTATCATTTCAATCAAATAAGAAGAAATAACTTAATCATTTCAATCAAATAAGAAAAATTAACTGAATCACTACTTCAAAAAATAAGAATGAACTTAACCGAATCATTTCCGTCAAATAAGATTAATGAACTAAAGCACACCATTTCCATCAAATTAAGTAAAATTTAATATTGAATTCATATAGTTCCATAACACACTAGCAGTTGAACATTTTGATTAATACATAATCTTTGAGAGCAGTAACTAAGATGCACTGAACTGTCATCGTAGATAAGTTTATTTACGTCGCACTGGAACTGCACAAGGGGCCATTGGCGATGGTCTGGGAAACATCCCAGAGGAGGGATGTTTCCCAGCGGAGGGAACATCGCGCAATTTTGATCCTCTGCAGAGGGGATGGTTCCCCTGCTTTGGTAACCCGATAACCTACGCGCGAGGTCGAGCACTTTATGGTAGAACAGTTTAAAGAGAACCGATACAGTGCCCCCTCGGTCCCTACGCAGGCAGATCAAAGTGAGCAGTGACGCTTGACTTCAGTGTTCTACTGGGAACCGTGTCTTTACGATCAGTCCACTACGGGACACTGTCATCGTAAGAAAATGGGTTCTGTCCCCAAATAGCAGCTGGAATGTAATGCTGACTACATTTCCACAATCATGAAATTGGTCACAAAATTGTAGAGCCTCAGCCCTTATGGCCACCTTGACTCACAGCAAGCTGTTACGGGAATACTTTACATCATAATTTTTAAATGTAGTTTGAACAATCGATTACTAAATCTTTTTTTTCTTATTTAACTTAAAAAATTAAATATTTTACATTTTCTGCATTTTTGAAGCATTGTTTAAACGTTTTTAGAACTTGTTTTCCGCAAAAAATAGAAAAATGTCTTAAGAAATATTTTAAAAAACTATGTTGCTGAATATATCAATAAAGCACTGAATTCAAAATTTTAAAGAGAAAAGAAAAACATTTTTTAAATTTTAAAAAAAAAAATCTGATTTTTTTTTTTAATTCCTTGATTTCTTTTGCTTTCAGCACGCATACAATCAATTTCAAATAATTTTCAAAGGCAAATTTTATAATAATAAAGTGTGTCTTTCAAAACATTTAAATATTTTATAATGACAAAAAGCTTTCTCGGAGATGCTGAGTAGTTCTACAGCATCGACAGCATTTAACTTTCTTCATTCTAAAAAGCTATTATTTCTGGTAATTTTAATATTGTTTTTGCTTACACTGGCATATTTTTTTCTTTTGCTTTGTATTGATAAAGCTGTTAGGGATTTTGGTGAATGTTAAAAGTTTAAGTGGTTACTTACTTTACTTTATTTGAGATCAGATTCAAGTTTTGATGAGAGGTACTTAGTGTCACTGATAAGTAAAGCCATTCTTTCTTGTCTTATTTATGGAAACAAAACGTATTTATAAGCTTTAAACGATTTTTTTATTTTTCTGAAAATAGGTAGTCTTTTTATTTTTAAAGTGACAAAATGGAAAAAAAGTGTTTAGTATTTATAAAAGAACTTTTTTAATGTATTTTAAATAATTAACAGTGGTCATTTTAAAAAGACTTTAAAAAATTTGAATTATTGATAATTTTTAAAAACTAATCAGACAGTAGACCATAAAAAGTACTAAAGCAAGTTTTAAACTAAAACAATCGTTTCCAAAATCTTTTTTTTTAAATAACGAATTACATATTTTATATTTTCTGCGATTTTGAAGCATTATATAAACATTTTCAGAATTTTCATTCCATAAAAAAAATAAAAAAAGGTATCTAAAGAAATGAAATAAAATTATGTTGTTGAAGATATCAGTAAAACGCTGATTTCAAAATTTAAAAAAAAACGTTTGAATAATTCCATATTTTTCAAAATTAAAAAATATATATCTCTTATTCATTTCTGTTGTTGTTGTTTCTAATGCCACTTGCAGGTTTGCTCGGTAAAACAAAGCGAATCTAAGGCA